TTTTAATATGTCCCTAGCCGCGCGAAATTGCTGAAGACATGTTTGTTTTTAAACAGATTACATTATTTTATGAACGTATTTCTCCGCCTTTGCTGCTGCTGCTGCCGCCGCTGCTGCTGCTGCTGTTGATAATATGCAAAAACTTGGCAAACAATAACACGCACCCAGAAAAGCGCCAAATGCTACTAAAAAGTTACACACACTCACACACATGAATGCCCACATACATACATACGTCACACATGCTCAGAAAAGCTCTCAGCTTGTGCAAACATTGCCTGGGAATATTGCCATAAGTTTCATCGACAAATTAATGATGAGTAACCATAAACATGCATTACATAACAAAACAAAACGGGAACATTTTAGCGGTGGTTTGGTGTGCTTTGTTTTTCCGCCGATTCTATTGTCGTCTTCACCCCCTCTCTCTCGCTCATGCTAACTGTAAAGTTCACATCATATACGACGCGCGTACGCTTTGACTTGCACTTGAAAGCTAAGCGTGACTGGCAGGCGACAAGTGTGTCAATATCAGTTTAGTAAGTAGCAATTAAATTAATTGTTCAAATAGTTAGCCATTCTTAGCGCTTATTCTTGAACTTTAATTAATAATTATGGAACATATCTGGAAGTTGAAATTGAGAATTATAAACCTAAATATTCTTCCATTATATTTGGCTACATATTACTATTAAAGATATAATGGAACCACGCGTCAAGCCTTTTAAATAGGCTAGAATTGCTAGAAAGTACCTATGCGTTGTTACTTTATATACTAAGTCTCTAAATTTTGTGAAAAATCTCATACATTTTGCAAGGCAACAATTTACATAAATCAGCATTTATATCAAAGCTCATATTTCAACTGGCTATCTGTTTTTCATGTTTTAACAACTTTCGAACGTCAGACATTTCACAATGCATACCATGTGTCATATAATAGACTCGCATTCTTTTCTTCCATGCACACGCATCCAACACACACACACACACACAGGGAGATACTTATACACCCACACACACGGTTAACATCAATGTCAGTTGTGTTGCCTTGTCGCCTGGGCTAGTTCACATTCGCATTCCACCTACTTTGGTACCCACTCAGCCCTGTTCTCGTCATCTAATCCCATACCGACGCACTCCAGACGCTTTACACGTGCTCCACGCCATTCAAGTGCCTGCAACCGGTAACCGGCAACAGCAAAGGCAGCGGCAACAGCTCCTTGGCATAATCGCTCAACAACAAAGAAGAGCGAGAGAGAGAGGTGTCAAAGCGGAGGCAGGTAGGGAATAGGTAGCCACGTGGAGGTGCACAGCTAAGACATTTTATCTGTGCCTTTGCGTTGCCAGCGCGTTCCGTTGCGGATGCGGAAGCTTGTTGATGCTTTTACCATTTGTTAAGTGCTGCTTGTTGCTCCAGCTGTCGATGCTGAGGTCAACGCTGCAGGTGCTGCTTTTCCACCTGCCTTTTGCCATCGCCGCCTGTTGCTGCTATTGCTGCTGCTGTTGTTGTTGTTGTTGTTGTTGTTGTTGCTGTCGTTGTTGCTTTCCCTGTTGCTATTGGTTATGTACTCAGACATGTAGGGTATGAATTGAGAGCCGCATATATCAGGTCCAACACAGGAGATTCTCCCACTGTGTCTTGGAATTTGCACTTGGATTTTTCGGCTTACTACGTGCTTTGGCGTTTGCTTTTAGTTGCGCTCTGCGCTATGCACTAATCCTAAGTAACTGTTGTTAGTGGCATCGACTGTAAGAAGAGAAACAAGCAAAAGTGCTCCGATCAGATGCTAACGACTGCCTAATACTCGTTTGCAGTCAAAGCAATTTGAACGATCTTTACAAATTTACAGAGACAAGCTATTAATTTGTGAGACTAAAAAATTTTGGATCGACATTTTGAAGTTGTAAAAGAACGATTTTATTTGAAATGTGCTACCCTTGCGTTTATACAGTTACAAAGTTGGCCATCGCAAAAAACCTATATACTCTTTTCACTTTCTGAACAGGTATTAGAATACCAAAAGCCACTGCAAAGTTTGCCACGCAGCTAACTTCATGTGAGGTGCAATTCAGTCAAAGTTTTGCGAATCAGAAATGTGCTAGAGAAAAAAACGTTGCATACTCTCAGGCGTCCGGAGGTCTGGCACTAAATATACCCTAATAAAATGGTATAACTAACTGCATATCGAGTTTAATTGTACAAAAATTGGTCAAGGACTTCCGTAAATTGGGTTACGTGCTCGAGTTTTTTTTTTTTTGAGTTTTTTTAGTCGTTAGATTCTTGAATGTGCTTCATTTAATACAATAAAATATTGTTTGTGCTCCAATTTATAGTTTGTTTTAAAGAAAAATACTTTGTAAGTGTGTATACAATTCGTTGTGTACATTTTTCTAAGCTTCGCCTCGTTTTTGTTTTTGCCATTGAGAATTGATACAAAACCAAAAAGACGCTCCTGACGGATTGCTGCAGTTAAGGACAGGAGCAACATCAGCAGCAACGGCAGCTTAAAAGTGCATTTCTCAGTTACGACAGATGGAAATTTTATGCACGCTGTTCTTAAATTACAAGTTTATATCTTGTAGCTGTAGCTGTATTTGTATCTGTATCTATATCTGTATCTGTGTCTCTATTGGTATATTAGTGCCAAATGCTTTTCTGGGTGTTGCCAGCGACTATTTGAAAAATGTGCATTGCATGTTAGCGATTTACCCTTTTCGGTTTTGTTTACAACTTGAGCGAGTTGAGTTGAGTTGTTGAATTCCCGAACATACAAATTGTCAAGGTGCCAAGCGCCAAATGCAGTGCAGATTATTTCCATTAAGGTAAATCCGTCAGGGGAGGTGCCATATTACACCGAACATCAATATCTATTTGCCAAAGTGCTTCCACAAAAAAGTTACTAAAATAATGTGCATTGGCGTTTTTTGCGAGTGCAACATGCGCATTCTAAGTAGTTAAACAAATCGATTTGATGATGTTCTGCGATTATTTCAGTTGTTTTTTGGTTTGGAAAAGAATGAAAATTGCTTTCAAAGATGAAAACTGTTGTCCAAGTCTAATGAACTTCTAGCTTCACATTTTCAACATAACTTATTGACACTCCTTCTAATACTTGCTAAATTTGAATCAAGGCAGTGCGTATTTAATTCCAATAGATATAAATATTGAGGCCGAACATTGTTCACCCATATTCCAGATAGGAGAGGTGAAAAGAGAGAGAGGCTTAGATTTAATGTTCAGAAATAATTTTCAAAAAAGTTTCTAGTCAACAGGTTGGACACACCACAAATGTCGCATTCCACCAATTTTCCACTGTTGCGGGTGGAATTTTACAGAAAATTAGACCAGACAGAATGTAAGAGAAGGGGGCACAAATAAACTTAAACTTTGGCTTTCCAAATTAACAAGATATTTCTCAAATTTGTTAAATCAACTTCTGTTAAGTAAACTTGCGCAAGGCTTAAGGCGGATTCGTGTTAATAAATATTTTGCTGATTTTGGCCTCTGTTTACTTTGGCCTTGTGCCCCGACACAGTCTTAACTAATTTAACCCGCTGTTTAATCAAAACGTCTCTATTATCAAATGCTACCTGCTGTTTACACAAATCAGATTTCTTTACCTTTAGCTAACCGCAAACAAAAACGCGAAATGTCTGTAAAGCTAATTACATTTTGTGTGCCAGGGATTTCAATTAATGTATATGTATTTAATTTAATTGAATATTGCCTTGCGCCTTGGCGTCCTTTTAAGCTGATTGCTTAGAAAATCGTTTGATTGATACAAAAACGGGACAAACTGAAGCGAGCGGCTTGTCACACACACACACAAATGCCACACAGAGAGAGAGAGAGAGAGTTCATGACACATGTTTTGCCTTAGAAAAACACAAGGTCACACAAGTCGTTTGGCGGAGTGGGGCTCCCCAGACGCCAACACGCTAAAGCAGAGCAAAAAAAAAAGGTCAAAGGTGGCATTTAGTGCTGCAGTGGCTCCTTGGGGTCTGGCTGCCTGCCCGACTGCGTCAGTGTTGGGTTAATTAATTTCTTTGGCCTTGCTCAAAAAACGATAAAAAAAACACACACACACATACACACGAAATCGCCATCGAGAAAGTTGCCAGTGTTGCCAAAAGCGTACACACACGCCCCTTTCAAAGGGGCGTTACCAGATACTATGAATTCAACTAATAAATTACAACACAAAAGTCAATAAAATCATTGAATTCATTATAGATACATATACACAGATCGCTTGTGTGTCTCGGTGTGTGTGTGTTTGTCTTGGGTAATTTAAAGCTTTGCGCCAGTTTTTTTGGGGGGTTTTTCGAGGCGTTGCCATACCCTTGACTTTTGGTCTATCAAGGACATTGCCGTCTCAGCAGCATCTCAAGTAAATTAAATGAATTGAACAAATTTACGTAAGTTTCTTAGCTGCATGTTGAACATTTTCCACATTATTTGGATATGCTCCTTAATTTACATGGCTTTCCAACGGCTTTCCGCACAGTTCACTCACTTCTCTCACTCTCTTCCCCTCCCGGCCCTTGCTGGTGTCCGGCCTGTACGGCTTCTGTCTTTGCTGTCGTCCAGTGCAAATTGTCACTAACGATGCGCGTAATTTTATGGCCAGGGAGTTTCTACTTCATTTAAAGTCGCCTCTTCGCACTGGCGTAAAATGTTTGTTGGGCTTTAGCTAAGACCCAATGCTGCTGATATGGTCTGGCCGGTCTCTTCGGCTAGATAATAACTTCACTAGCTATTTTCTAATAAATTAACTTTGAATGAAAAATAAATCAGCTCAAAGCTTGAGCACAAAATTGAGGAGGCTGGAGAATTGAAAACTCAAAGCCGAAGCCTAGACGACATGCAAATGCGGTATTATGGTACATCATTTTTTATTTTACTTGTTACTTTTTATAGAATCACTGTAACTGTACACTTTAAGAGCATATCAAGTGATAACTTATCAAATAATTATAAATTATATACCATTATATGATATACCCCACACTAACTTTTCGTGGATTTTATATTCTTATACCGCGTAGTTTTATGACATTGTAAATTGTACTATTTAAAATCTAGAATCCGTATTCGAATCATAATAATAATAATAATAAGCATAACAATATCTTGAATATAAATAATAGAGATTAAAGCAATCTCGAGAGGAGTCAGTTATATGGGCACGACAACTTCCGTTTATGTAATCGCTGCAGGGTATTGAAAAACTGTAAAGTTTTGCACCATGGCAAATAATGATAGAACTGAAACAGACCTAAAAGCTGAACAATTTTCGAGTTTCTCGTACCGGAAATTGCTCGGGATTGTTCTTAATTTGCCAGACAACAGCGTTGAGCTGATGGCTTTGCTTCCATTGTTGTTGTTGTTGTTGTTGTTGTTGTTGCTGTTGACCACATGCTTGAGATGGCATCAGTTCCAGTTCCACGCCCCCGCACACACACACTCACACACACACGCACGCACACGTTGCTGTAGACTTTTGAGTGATGCACACATGCAGAGATAATTTGTTAGTTGACTGTCTCAGGCGAGCTGCTGCATTATGTTATCCCGAAAGGACCCCAAAGGCTTCTGTTGCCAATGTGCGTAATTCCGACGCACGCTCAACTTTTCACTCCCACATTGATAACAACACACTGAACGGAGTACAAAACTTCTGTGTGTGGGCAACTGCCCAGCGGCTTTTGTCGCATGTTTCCAGCTTGATGAGCTAAAAAAGTTTCACAGCACTGCTTTTAGAATTTCAAACATTTTAATTGCTAGGGTGAGCGGAAGGCAGTGACGGAGAAAAATGAAGAGCGACAAACCAAACTTTACGCTAGCGAATACTTACAAATACCCTGGTAAATGCACTTAGTAATCTTTTATGCAATGATATTTACAACACTTTCATTCACTAATTTGTGGCACTATAACAAAAAAATTTGCGAGAACTTAAAGCGCTTAAACTATGTTATAATAGAAAAAGTTTGTGTGTGCATCAAATGTACAGTGCTGGAAAGTACAGGAAGCTGTAAAAAAAACTCGACAGTGTTGGAAAGTGCAGGCAAGCTGGAAAAAACTATGTTGGGAAGCATAAGAATTTGAATTTGAAAAAATTAAATTTAAATTGAATGATAAATAAAATAATTTTATAAAAGTCATTATGAATTCAAGTATTTAGCAATATAAATACAAGCGATTTCTTTTTAATACCTAATAAGGAAGTCAAGATTTAGGAATAAAATTCAGCTTAAATTTAATAAAATACAGCTATGTATTAAAGTAGTCCGCTATATGCGCTATATCCTTACGAATTCGGGATCTTAGCTAATAGATCGAAGCGAAAAGTTCCAACTTAAGCTTCTCCGTGTCAAGAAAATGCAGGCTTTCATTAAATAACTAGGGTATTAAATATTTTTATGCTGCATAGTTTCAGGCGTCGCATTTGGACTTAATAGTCGGTGCTCATTAAGTCGCCTGCTTGAACACCTTGCCGCACACACATACACGCGTACACATGCACACACACACACACACAGTAAACGTTTTGTCACATTTACACCTATTGCCACTCCCTGTCGTACAATAAATATGTGCTGGCAAATCCGCTTTGATCCCTTTTGGCGCATTGTCGTCAATGTTGCGTTACGCCGCTTCTGTCCCCTCCTCTGCCAACGGCTTTGCCTCTCTCGTTCCACTTCCACTTTCTGTCTCCGCCTTATTGATGTTCTAATTCGCACTTAATCCAATCTAAGATTCGAATGAGCAATTTCAAATTATGATTATACCTTGGCACACGCCCACTCAGCCGCAACAGGCAACAGGCAGCGACTGCGAAGCCACCGACTCTAGGGACACTCTATAATAGAGGAAGGTTGTTGGATTGTTGCTGCCGAAGGGGGCTGGGGTCGGGATCTTGAGCTGGTTGGTTCGGGGTCGGCGGGTCATGCTAGAGGTAGCGCAAAATAAGAAGAAAATTATTTGAAAATATGACGCTAATGAAATTTTATGGGCCATGCGAAGGTTTATTTTTATTATATTTTTTTTTTGTTTTCGTTTATTTTCTCATACCTCGCCATACACACCCCGTCGCCCTCGCTTTGCATTGTTGCAAAGCTGATGCCCAAATAACGGTAAATTAAGCGAGATAAATCTGTGTAGGAGGAGAGGAGCTCAGCTCAGTTCAGTTCAGTTCAGCTCCGGAGTCCGGACTCTACAGTATTTGAGTGTTGGCATTTTCCTGGGATTAAAACTTCAGATTTTTTTCGTTATTTTTTCTTCTCATTTCCTTTTTTTTTTTTTGCGTTTTGCTTTGTTTCTGTTTTTTGTTTAGCTGTTCGCGCTGAGGGACTCGCCTCTCTAATATTTGCACGAAAACTGGGCTATTTATTTGTAAACAAGTTGGCATTTTTAAAAAATTTACATCATTTTTTATGCCTGTGAGCTGCTGCCGTTTGTGGGGGACGCGCATAAAAATTGGTTATAAAAATTGTTTAGCCGTAAATGAAGTATACGCATTTTTTGATGAATTTGTTTTGCAGCCAAATCGGCGCCAAGAGCTAAAGAAATATATTAAATCAGCCATTGAGTGTGATTTTTATGGATCGGTAATAGCACGCACTGAGCGTAAATTTAATGCCAATCCACTAACCGAGGTTCACATTTTAAATGCCCAACGAAGCGTCAGCCCCGATAACTTGTACATAACATACATCAATGTCCGCAATATGCGAGATATATATTTAATAGTATATTCATTTGGTTATGCGAAAAACAACAGATATTAGATAATCAAACGAGCAAGGGAATATTAAAATGAAGTATAATTTTATACGAGCCAAGAAGCTGCATTCATATTTAAGAAGTTCAGATTTACAGTCTGCTTCAAAAGTAACCGACAGAGTACGAATATATTCAAAAGGAAGTGTAGCATATCCGATATTGATAAAATTTTGCATATATGCTGAGCGGACGGATGTGCAAACGGACGGATATAGTTCTATTAATTCGACTTTTGATGTTTAATTAGAATTTATATTCTCCATCGGAAAAGGTTCTTTACTAAGGTACACAAAAATGATTTAGTTTTGAAAAAATACCGTTTTGCAATAACATTTTTGTTCCAACCAAAGCGAATATCGTTTTATGCCTTTAAATCCCATAAAAACGTTTTTCTAGTTTTTCATATTTCGTAGTAGCTCAACGTGCATTTGTATCTTTTCGCTGTATTCGCACTTGTTGGGTCTCTTTTGCTGCCCAACTGCAAAGCTTTGCGCTGTCAGGAAACCGGGAACATGCATTAATCCATTAGCCATGGCTGGGACATTTATATGCAATTGCTGAAAGGCATTTGATAAAGGACAGCAAGAGCTACTCTTAAGCTATTAGCTTCGTTTTCTAGTAAATGTCGCCTAATAAACTGAAATATTACAAGAGAAGTCATTTTTAAATGATGTCCATCAATATGCAAACTATGCAAAGTATTTGATATATCGCAGCTCTTCAAATGAATCCAATCAGCTCATTAGCCAATTCATTCTGGCTGCCATTTGGCCTTAACCCATGGCAAGTTTTCGTGCTATCACAACTTTCTGCCCCAACCATTAGCCTAATTGATAGTTTTTTTTATTTCCATTTTTATTTGTTAGTTGGCCAATCAGTATAAAAATATAAAAAAAAAGAGCAAGGGAAACTTTAGACATGATTGATTCGCAGCTGTGATGTGCGTTGCGAAAGAGATTTATTTGCCATTAAATCTCAATAAAACGATTAATCTAAATCTTTAATCAAATTACATTGCCCGCTGCTCACGTTGTCGCCCGGCTACTAAACCGCTCCTTTTTTTTTGTTATTTTAAATTAAAATGTAATAGAAAATTCATTGGGTTACATTAAAAATGCACTTATCGGCTTAACCCGGGCAAATTGCACAGATCCTGTCGCATGCCGCCCGCCAAACGCCAACTCCTCTTTGCTGCAGACCTAGACTCGTACAAATTGCATGAAATTAATTAAAAATGCACGTGTGTGTATGCCTCTGTGTGTGTATGTGTGTGGCATGCTTTTGTCAAATGGGTGGCCTAAAGTGACCCGCAGGCTGTTGCAGCTTGCAGCAGGGGCTGGGGCAGTGGAGCAGGAATTTCATACATCGATTTATTAATGTCAGGAATGCGCTACCTGCCACGCCCACGCCATCATCTGCATTCGCCCATGTGTGTGTGTGTGTGTGTGTGAGTGTGTGTTTTATTATTTTCTTCAGCAAATGTCGCCGCCTGCAAAGCGGCTTGCATGTAGGGTTGTAGGCGCCACAGCAGCAGCAGCAGCAGCAGCGGCATTTTTTGACGGCATCCATCAGTTTTTTCCAATTTTGCATGTGCATTATTAATGCATGCAGAGTGTGGCGGCTGTCTTGGCCAAGGGAGGTCTGGATAGTGCGGGGCGTATGTGTGTGTGTTATTTTTCTGCCTTGTTCGACAAGTCCCTCGTGATTGTTGTCTGAAGTTGCGTGTTGTTTCAGCTGATAAACGTGCATATTAGTCGACATTCTATACTCCTGTAACGAATCTAGTTATTCCTTTTGTATATACGTGTTTATTTCATACAATGCTGTTGTTTTCAGTTACATCGGCCCACCTGACAAACTGTGGCATAATCGAGGCTTAGTAGAAGGTTTTTTTTATTCTGCATGCTAATAGGTAAAGAAGAGATAGACTTGGGCAAGAAGCAGAATATTGACTGATAGAACGGCCGAAACTATGACAGCAAATGCAATTGTTGCGCGCGTAGTCTGTAAAGTTGTAGCGTGTTATTATATCTTTAACCAAAATTGTTCATAAGGTATATATATGCAGATACCTTTGGCGATTTACTAAATATGTCAATCAATTAAGAGGGATACTTCTTGTCGTACAGGCTAAAATATTCCCTTTCTTGGATTCGTGATATCTCTTCAATATCTTTCAACTCTATATTTTTAATATTACTTATAATTGTTATTGTGCGTACCCAACTGTTTATATTCTTTTTTTCTAATTTATTATCTCTATATATAAGACGGTTTGTCCTGTCTGACTGATTGACTGACGGATTGAATGGGTCGAACAGTATATTCAATGATTATGTGGGCAAAGTTTTAAGTTTCTTCCGATTGGCTTAAAAGGTACTTTCTAAATCAAATAAAATAAAACCAAATAAAAACTAAACAAATACATGTATATTCTAATATTGTATATTTTTTTATAATACTTTTTTCTCATCTTACACCTTCCTTTGTAGCTCTGAAAGAGGACATAACTTTGAACTTAAATTATCTAACAAACTTACGTATTATCTTAAATAACTCAAAAACTTTCATATACTGAAAAGTTAAAGTTAGGCAATTTAGTTTATATTGTCTGTAAATTTGCATTTGCTTATCGTATTGCATTCCTCAGTTATCTGAACGTTAGAGCAACTGCTCGAGTCACCCTCGCTGGGAGCAATGCTCGCCATAAAATTTGTTTATTGTTGTTGCTTTTGTTGTGGGCCATTGTTGTTGTTTTTTTTATGTTTTTTTTTGTGTAGTGACTGCTGTTATTTTAAACGTATTGCTGCCACAGCTACTGCCACCGCTTGCTGCACTTGCTATGCAACAGCGTTGGGCTTCCCCTGGGAACGTTGAACGTTGAACGGCAAACGCATTTTTGCATAACGCATTAAATATTCCAGTTTGTTTTTCCCTTCTGGGTTTCAATTTAAACTGCACCCAGGCTCCACTGTCAGACAGCTCTGGC